GAAGTCTGTCTTTCACAGCGCTCTTCCCCTCTGCTCAACGGCGCCCAGGTGCGGCCGCTGGTCGTGCACAATGAAAACCTGGAGGCATCAGAGCTGCCAGACATGACTGTCGCTGAATGAGGTGCGAAATCGCAAAGAAAAAGGAAGAGAAAGTTGAGGTTTCTGGGCTATCCTTGGAAGTGCATGAGGATCTGGCATGGAGAACACCTATTTTCAGAAGGTATTAAGAGATATGAAACATGTGAGGAACAAACCGCAAGAACAAAGAAGTCACGGGTAATGATTGCGTAGCAATTTTTACCCACTGCGAGTCTTGTCAGGATCATGCTGCATCTTGCCTTTGGCAAATCGTCTTCGCAAGCAGTCAGCCTCTGCCTCCAACCAAACATTGTGCTGCTGGAACAAGGTGCGCCAATAAATGGCAAAGCGACCAGGTGGCATCTCCAAGCTGGATTTGGTTCTTCCTGTGATCCAGCTGTTCAGCTGTTCGCACGCTTCAGTGTTTTTGTTTTTCAGCAGCGCCGCATTTTGCGGTGTGTCCGGGTTTGTCTGGGGAAGATTCTTCAAGCACCACGTATGATTGCGCTTGTGGAAGTGGTCCAGAACCAGCCCAATTTGTGAAAAGTTGGTAGACCATGGCGGCCTGCTATCCTTCTTCTCTTGCGCTGTTTTCCACAGCTTGCAAGCATTATCATAGGCAACGCAAGAAATGGAAACCCCACGCGTCTGCATGTCTTTGAGAAACTGAAGGAGAAAGACGTACACTAATTCCATTTGCTCCCCACGCCACATCTCGATGAAGTCGGCCAACAATCCGCAACTAAGCACACAAGTCAAAATGCCTCCTGTGGTTCGGCGGCGGCGGTGGGTATCTTTGTCGACTGTGCACTCAGTGGGCTCTAACTTGGCAGGCTTGGCAAGCAAACGTGGCTTCTTCTTGACACGCGCCTTCTTGGGCGCCAGAATGCTTGAACAAGATGCATCGTTTTTTCGCAGCCACCGAGCTTTTTGTCTCGAGCCCTTGGCTTTTGCAGCTTTTTTGTTGCGATGATCTGTCTTTTGTGGCAAAAGCCCTCTTTCAAAGGTCAGGAGCAAATCTTTTCGCACCTCTTGGCGCGGCAGAAGCAATTCCACTACCTGCGAGGCATCAGAAGGATCTTTGCATTGCACGACGTACATGATCTCAAGGCCTTGGCCGTCAGCATCCTCGCGCTCTTCTGTGCCAAGCACGGAAAGCTGATCGGCAATGAGGTGGTCATGTTCGGGCAAGTGGCGGCATGCAGAGCAATGCTGGTGCTTTGCGTGCGCAAAGTTGGTGCAGCCAGAAGCGAATTCTACGCCAAGGTCTGGGAAGGATACTGTACCATCTGTGCCTGTCATGGCCAGCGGGGGTAGGAGGGCGGAGCTACAGTACTTGCAGATTTCTAGAAAACTGTATGAGAATAAGCTGCTTTGGAACCTCACACCCAGGACGCCGAGTCTTCGGGACCTATGTTTGTCAAAGAGCGGGTATAGGTCCAGAGAAAGAAAAGTTTCAAGCATTTTCAAGCCAAAGTCAGATTTTTTTAGGGGTCGCTCGCGAACTTTATTGTAGCCCACCCACACACAAAAACCACGGAAGAAATTAAGAGAAGCCGGCACCGGGTGTACACTCTGTCCTGGCCTGCGCAAATCAGTCGCCGAGCGCCAGCCTTCCCATCCACAATGACGCAAGGATTGTCACGACAGCGAGGGCATGCTTTGATATGGGCCGCAACCCAATCTAAATGCTGCTCTCGGATGGCCGCTGTATGCGCTAACAAGGAAGCGTCGAAGCCGGCTGGGGTCATATCCCAAACAATAGGCTCAGCTAGCTGGCCTGCCATGTCAAAGGCCCTCCAAGAATACCAAGCGGACAACAAGTTGCTGATGGTATGCGGCAGCTGAGTTCTGTCTGGGCCCAAGAGCAAATCCTGCTGCCAAGCCTCTGAATGACGCATGGCCCATACCAAGACTGCAGCCTTCATCGACCCTCCGCTGAAATGCAAGCTGTCAGTGAGGTGTTTGAGAAGTGCTATTTCAACCGCAAAGAAGCTCCGGTAGCGAGGTATAATGAAAAAGCCATCTGCGGCGGATGACTGACATTGCAAATTTGATATATGCCCGAAGCCAGACTGTTGCCGCTTGAAAGACCAATTCCCCAAGAAGTACTTGCGGCAAGCCGGGCACTGCTGCTCCACAAAATCCGCCCACAAGAGGCCTGCGTTCAAAGAGTAAACCTTGTAGCGATTGCTACTAGTCCTCCGAGACGCAGCCGCATTGTTTGCAATGGTGGCTTCGGCAACTGGGGCTTTCTCCCGAAGATCATGGCCGCAAGGACATTGGGACCTGGCACTGGACACCCGCACCACAGGGAGCGTCGGGCAATCCTTTTGCAAGTCTTTGAGAGAGGACAACAGTGGCGCCACAGTGCGCTGTCCGCACGTGAGCGCTGGCAAGTAACGAGCAACTTTCCACACCACATTCTCCGAGCTATTTGATGCTAGAGACTGCTTGTGCCAGGCCCATGCTAAAGATCGCAACACAGCTCCGGCAAGGGGGATGGGCACGAGCTGAAGAATCAACACTACTGTTGCTGCAGCGCTTGCCTCAAGAGGCTGCAGAAGAGCTGCCCATGAAACTTCTGCCATGGCAACAGAAGGAGTGACAAGCTTACTGCAGTGCAAAAAAACACAAAAGGCGTCTTGAATTGCTGAACGTTGGTAGCAAGTGCTGCTAGTCATGGCTGTCTAATCTGAACTGCTCTTCATGTGGCCACTTATTGCTGTTGGGCGTTTCTGCGGCGGATGTATGATGGATTGCACTCGAAATGGCCTGTCCCAGTTGAAGTTTAAAAGGGCCTATAGTTCGCTGAAAACAAACTGGAGGAGAACGAAAGAAGAATCCATTCTAGGGCCCTCTGGCAAAATTTCAGCGGGGCCCACCAGTGAGTCTGCTGCATTTCATCCCGCCGAGGTGCGGTAGAGCATCTCTGCGCTGTCTCATTTTTACTCTTTGCACCACACGATACGCGATGGCCTCATGCAGTTCCAAACGGGGTTCCGAACTTAACACGTGTAAGTCAGTCATTAGGTCACCATGCCTTGGTCTGAGGCAAGGCGCACACATCAAACTCAAACCGTTTTGAGAGTCTGAGTGAGTCTGCTGCATTTCATCCTGCCGAGGTGCCGTAGAGCATCTCTGCGCTGTCTCATTTTAATCAACGCGCCACGCGAAAGGCGACGGCCTCAGTTCCAAACAGAGTTCCGAACTCAGCCTGTACGATATTTGGTCACCGCTTCTTGGTCTGAGGCAAGACCCACACATCAAACTGAAATTGTTTTGAAACATGTAATATATAGGGAACAGAGTAACTTCCAAATTCCACGACTGAACAACTAGATTTGGCGATGCAGGCGCCATATATCAGATCATGAGGAATGCGTGATGGGTGGCACACACGAGATCGTATTCAGAGTATACCCAATTCACACGCTTCGCGCATGGGAAAACACCTGAGAAGAGAAGAAGGTGGTATGAGACAATATATGAAGTGGAAATTCCGAAGGGGCTACAGTAAAGACACTGCCAGCCGTCGATCAGAGGTGGAGGGCCTGTGAATTGGCCATTTGCCACTACGGACTTGTAAACTGAAGTGATGTTACCTGCAACAGCTTAAAGAGAACAGCTTGTTGTGACAACTAGCAGGTGCAGGAAAGTTGGCAAGTCTGCCTTCTCACTTCTATCCGCAGCTTCATTGCGTGTGTGCCAGATGCCCCTGCGATTCTTGGTTCCAATGTGCACATGGAGCGAGTGCGCTGAAGTGATATTACCCGCAACCGCCTGAAACGAACGGCTTGTTCATGACAACCTGCAAGTACAGGAAAACTGGCAAGTTTCCCTTCCCACTTCTATATCTTCTATCCGCAGGTTCGTTGCGTGTGTGCCAGATGCCCCTGCGATCTTTGGATCCAATGTGCACATGGAGCGGGTGCTCTGAAGTGATGTTACCTGCAACAGCCCGAAGGGAACAACTGGAACTTTCAACCTCCCCTCGCAAGTTTGCATCCAAACTTTCAACCTCGTCTCGCAAGTTTGCATGCAAACTTTCAGCCCCGCCTCGCAAGTTTGCACGCAAACTTTCAACTCCACGTTCCGAATTACCTTAAAATTAGATGACATGTTTACCTTTAAAATTACCTAATTAGGTAGGAAATAAAGAATTAACACGAATTATACAACTATGAGGCAGGAAATTGCCTAACCTGATCTTTTGGGTGTCGAATCTCGAATTTCGGATCTCGGATCTCGGATCTCGGATCTCGAATCTCGGATCTCGGATCTCGGATCGAATCTCGGATCTCGGATCTCGGATCTCGCATCTCGGATCTCGAATCTCGGATCTCGGATCTCGGATCTCGAATCTCGAATCTCGAATCTCGGATCTCGGATCTCGAGTCTCGAATCTCGGATCTCGGATCTCGGATCTCGGATCTCGGATCTCGGATCTCGGATCTCAGATCTCGAATCTCAAATCTCGGATCTCGGATCTCGAATCTCGAATCTCGGATCTTGAATCTCGAATCTAGGATCTCGGATCTCGGATCTCGAATCTCGGATCTCGAATCTCGGATCTTGCATCTCGGATCTCGGATCTCGGATCTCGAATCTCGAATCTCGAATCTCGGATCTCGGATCTCGAATCTCGAATCTCGAATCTCGGATCTCGGATCTCGAATCTCGAATCTCGGATCTCGGATCTCGGATCTCGGATCTCGGATCTCGAATCTCGGATCTCGGATCTCGGATCTCGAATCTCGAATCTGTCCGTTGTCAAGTGCGTTCTGGAAAAGGGACAAGAAGAGGACAGCCTCTATGCAGGAGGTGGAGACGCCACAGCACTCAGGGCATGTCTCAGCAAGGCCGTGCAAGCTGACTGGCTTGCCGCTACGTTGGACATCAAAACGGCATTTCTTAATGCTATGCTCCCAGGTGAGGGCGCAGATGACGAAGTCGTGGTGATCTTACAACCACCAAGGCTGCTGGTCAAGCTGAAGTATGTCCAGCCGGACGAGTTCTGGGTGGCGGTGAGAGCCATTTATGGGCTTCGTCAATCACCAAAACTATGGGGCGCACATCGCGACACCAAGATGGGCGGCATGAGTTGGGAAGGTCAAGAAGGCACCATCACCCTAGAACCCATGGTTGGTGATCCAAACATCTGGAAGATGATCCAACTGAAAGAAGGCTGGGAAGAGGTCACCAAGGGCCTGATTTTGGTCTACGTGGATGATCTGCTGATCATGGGGCCAGAGCCTTTGATCCAGAAGTGTATCAAAAGGATTTCAGAAGAATGGGAGATAAGCAAGCCGGAGTGGCTAGGAAAAGATCGAGGAGTCAAGTTTTTGGGCATGGACATTTGGCTTACAGAAGAAGGAGTTTTTTTGCATCAAGGCAGCTACTTGAAGGAGCTGCTGAAAAGAAATGGAGAAGAGCATGGACTTCTCTCTGGAGTCCCAATCACACGAGATCAAGTTTTGCGCCTGGAGGAGGATGATCCACAGAAAGATGCAGATCAAGTCAAATTAGCTCAGCGTGCGGTGGGAGAGTTGATGTGGCTCCTCACCAGAACGCGTCCTGACTTGATGTTTTGCCTCAGCAAGATGTCTCAGGCCATCTTGCGAAATCCAAAAGAAGTCGTCGGAGTTTCCAAGCAGGTCTGGAAGTATCTGAGGAAGACACAAGATGAAGGTTTGTGGATAAGAAGAGGAGAAAGAAACGTTTTGGAGGTCTATACGGACTCGTCCTATGGTCCTGGGGGAGCAGACTCTCAGGGCACAGTGCTGGTCCTCTGGAATGGAAGCTCACTGCTGTGGAAGTCTGGAAGACAGTCCATCCCATCTCTCTCTACGGCGGAGAGTGAACTTTCAGAAGCGGTAGAAGGAATGGTGATGGGAGACAGCGTGGGCGTTCTCGTCCAAGAGATCTCCGAAGAAGGATACCCAAAGATCATCAAGGTAGACAACACTGCCGCGATCAACCTTCTTACAGAAGCTTCTGGAAGTTGGAGAACGAGGCACTTGCGTCTCAAAGCATCACATGTCCGATGGCGATTTGGAAGAATGGACTGGATGGTTGAGGCTGTGCCAGGACAACATCAAATCGCTGATGTAGGCACCAAATCTCTTCCAGCGCCAAGATTGGAGGAGCTGAAAAAGATGATGAAAATGGGAAGCTATGAAAGAACAAAAGAAGAAAGTGAAGAAAAGGAGGAGGACATCAGCCAAGACGTACAGGAAAGAGATATCAAAGAAGGACCAAAAAGAGAAGATGTTGAGAAAATTCTCAGGGTGATTGTGGCCTTGGGATGTGCGCATCATGCATGTGCACAAGAAGAAGAAGAACAACGAGAAAGAGACAGCGGATGGGAGATTCTGATTTTGGTCGTCCTAGCTTTTGTAGGAATGGTGCAGATTCTCCAAGCTTTGACAAGGGCTGTCAAGCAGTTTTGGAGACGACGGCAGAGAAGAATCAAAGAAGAAGAAGTTCAGAAAAGAGAGCACATTGAAGATGAAAGAAATGAAGAGGAGAAGCCGAGTGGAAGTGGACTGAGTCGTCCAAAGGCATTGCCACCTTTGGATCAGGCTCCGCAACCAAAGTCTACTCACCAGATAGAGCAGGCTCTGCAACCAAAGCCTGCATCTCAGGCTGCTCCGCCACCAATGAGTTTTTCTCCGCCGAAAAGTTCAGCACCATCAGTGCCAACAGCAGTTCTTTCAACATCTAGTCAGAGTGCGAGAAACAGTAGCTCGGTAGCTGCTGTGAGTATGCCAAGGACGGCGAACACACCAGTGGTTTCTCAGATTAATGTGACCAACACAGGGACAGCCAGAACCGACAGAACGAGCAGAGGTTCTGGTAGAAAACCAGCATTTATCACTCCATGGGGAACCAAGTGGCATCAAGATACCACTTGCCCTACTCTTGCTAACTCTAGAAGTCTCATTCCAAGCCAATGGTGCCAATCATGTTCAGAGGCCAACCGAGATGAATCCTTGCCAATACTCTCAGTGGGCCCAGGGGGAGTAGCACACTATGATCCCAACTGACCACTGCTTTCATCAAATTCGAAGAGGTATTCAAAGTGTCAGAGGTGTTAAGAGTGATTTCTAACCTGCTCTCAACGAGACAGGTTCGAGACAGGGTGAGCCAGAAAGAAAAGGAAGAGCGAAGAGAAAAGAACGGCTTGAGTCAGAAAGTGAGAGGGAAACCGTTTTTTAGGTTTTTTGCACATCCCTTTCGAAATGCGAAATCAATTTTGTGCTGTGGATGGAAATTCCCATAGCCAATACTTATGAAAGAAGTGAGTTGGGTGACGTGCGTCGCCAACTCGGGGGAGTGTTCATCATTTTGGAACACATCACTCCATGTACAATTTCAGCTGTGATCTTTGACTGCTTGCATGCAGCCGTTTTTCGTATCAAAAAGACGAGGTGCGTTAACGGGCGGTGTTGGTGAGGAGATCGGAATTTGAAGAGGGGCACAAATCGAGAAGTGTAACCCCAGAGAGCAGCCTCTAACCTGCTCTCAACGAGACAAATTTATATAATATATAATATGCACTAGCATAATCTTGTTGTGATAAATACAGTATACGTTGAATATAACATAATCCTACTATTGTAATCCGACATTGAAATTGGTAGCATCTGCAACATGGAATCTGACATATATTTTGAGACGAGTGTTGACGCATTCACTTTCTGAGAGTAGCCATTAGTGGATCTTGGGTGACAATGCGATTGATAAACCTGCCAGGTCCCAGCCAGTACACCAACCCTTTAACCGTTGAACCCAAGCTTTGACGGAGAAGCAACAAAACAGTCGAAAGCAATCAACCGCCTCTTGTATGCGACCGTAGACCGCTACTCGTAGAAAAAAGTGGCACTGCATCATGGCCCTCATGTCCGGTAAAATGCTCTGCAATCCAGTTATTCAAGGAGCCTCAGTTGCAAATCTTCGAAAATTGATACTTCAAAGGTTGAAGGTGATTTTCCGATACTGTCGAGGAGTTGAATAGAAACATCTAAACCAACAACAATGTGAATGCTTTCGTGACGGTGTGGCGCCCAACGCAATCAACATAGGTTCTCAAGCTCCTAGAACGAGTCACCATGAAGTGGCCGGTTGGATCGTGACTTGAAAAGGCCAGGGAACTTTTGCCTTCGCGGATGTTGCCGGCTGTTCCCACCGCAGAGACCTGGACGTTGTTCTCGCCGAAGATGCGGCGCAACTGGTCCAAACCATGCGAATTGATCTCAAATTTGGGGTCTTCCTAAGCTGCGAAAAACGTCGGTAAGTGCAGTTTGTGCGGGTTGAACAAGCTGCCAGTTGCAATATTCAAATACTCTAGTCCCAGGTAGGATATAGGTTGTGTATATTTTGCTATATGCTTTAAAGGTCAACGGCGTGACGCTGTCATACGCTGTCTCCCCAAAGGTGACAGAAACTCACAAGCCAAAAGCCTTTCAAACAACATTGAGACATCAAGCATCTGTCGTTTCTGCTTGGCCCTCAACTGGGCGAACAAGTTGCAACGATCTGAAGCTCGGTTTTGGCCAGTCCTTCAAGCTCTCTGAACTTCTGTAGCCCATTCTCATCGCAGGCAGGGGTGTGATGGCGATAGGGACGGCTGCACCTGGCTGTGTCACTGTGGTTTGCTCCAATGCGGATCAAAGTCACTTCTTTTTCCCAAGGTACAAGGCGAGTAGCAGCCCTTGATCCCTTTTCTATGTCCATCACAAGTTGACTTGCCTTCCTTTGAGCCTTTTGAAGACAGCAGCATTCCCCGCTCAAACTTCCAAATCAAAAATTGGGTGTGGTTTCACAGAAAAGGGTGCTGATGGACTCGCAAGTGTTGCCGAATTGCATACAGATCATACAGTAGTTAACAACCCAAGTTTGGTGAAATAGTTTTGAAGCGTTTTGAGCCGATCGAACCGTTCTGCTCTTGCTGACATCACGTCTAAAATTATCATCAGGCTTGCCCCCACAATCCCGCTGGACCCATAGGGGCGCCTCTCCACCAGCTCCTTGAGATCTTCATCTCTACAGCCTCCTCTCTTCACCATTTCACTACATGCCGCAAAGAGATGTTCCAGTTGAGGGGAGCCCTTGGGCATCATGATGCAAGCCGCTAAGGAGTAGACCACCACCAGCCACAAAGACTCGGCAATCTTGGCCATGCCCAAAGCTGTTTCTTCAGTGGCAATTCTCAAAGAGAAGGTCGGAAGACCTGGAGCCACAAACGGCACAAGTTGTTGGGGAAGTGGGCAACGCGGTGAGAAAGATTCCTTTTCTGCAGTGAATTGCTGGCGAGTCAACCCCGCGCCTGAAGGCCTTTCCAGAAAGCTATCAATCCGATGTCTAATGTGGCTGTCAGGTGCTGAACCGATTCTCATCTGCAGCGTACCGTTGCAATCACGCACTGCGGCATAGTAAATGGTGGGGAAAGCAAGCTGGCTCATGGCTCCACTGGAGTTGAAGCAGGTGAGGGCAGGTGAGGCTGCAAATCTGCAAGGTCGAGACAGATGGAACTCATCGTCGCTGTGCTTGCCCAACAATACTCTGGACTTCATGCTGCAAAAACCTGCCGTTTTCCATTGTGTTTCTATTTTTGATCAAGTCATTGTTGGTCATTGAATCAGATTCCCACACAAGCCTCATGGCCTCAATGGCTCATGTCATGCATCACCACCCACGAATTCAAACCATGGAAACCCTGGCTGAATTGATCGTTTTGATGATTTTTGATGGCCTGAACCTTTCTGAACCAAACATGATGGAATCGAAGGTTCATCCACCAGCCATTCCCAGTGCCAGGCACCCACACACCGGTTGTCTTGACATGAAGCTCCTGCAAGCTGCTTAGAGGCGCAAGCATCATCCCTGCCATGTCCAAACACCTTCCTGACGCAATGTGGGTTTCCATCTTGAAAATCAATATCTAACCAAAAAGAACACCTGACCTGCTCGAGCGAAACATGTTCGAGAAAAAATGTTGTTTCCGAGAAACACCGCATCGAATGACGAATGATTTTTGCTCGCGATATCAAGATCCCATCAACCACTGGTAACAACGCACCACTAAACAACAGGCGCAGCGCATTTTCAAATCAAAGGACACGCCAGTGAAGAAATGGGACGAAGCAGTTGCAACTTCCACGTCAAGAAAGAGCTCCTTTATCATCACCACTCTCAAAAAATAACTTCAATGGAGTTTCGCAAGGTCGTTTCCACATCAAATGTCCTGATCTAATGGCTCGCCTAGCCCTGTTGAGAATATGGAACAAGTTAAACCTGAGCGTGGCAGCGAAGTGCTCCTGGAAAGACTGGTTAACCTCCATCTGCTTACTGCATCCGTTTCACTGCATGGAAATGTCGCAGTCTGTCAAATCGCTATTAGCTTCCATGCTTCTGCAACTCTTTCCAACGTGTTCAAAGACGTGCAAGAAAAAACAGCTGACAGGTGAGAGGAAGCTGAGAGAAAGCTGAGATCACCACAAACTCACGGACACCAAACGCGGACCCTGAGCCTGAGCAGGCCAACGGTCGTCTTAAGATTTCAGTGCTTTAGGCGTTTCTGAATGCCAGCGGCGGTCCAATGTCAATTTTTGATTTTCGCAAAGTACTTATTCAAAGGAAGGCACCCTTGTCCCAGCCATTTTGGTGATTTGATGTGAAATCATCTAAGTCATCAGTGCAAAATGTGCCAGCTTAGGCAACCTGCTCCCACATGCTGCATCCCCTTCAAAATGAAATACCTACCTGATCTGATAGTGTTATATCGTGAAATGGAATCAAACTGGGTAAGGCAGTATAGTATACTGCTGCATGCTCAACTACTTTTCCCACATCATTTGCTGGCCTGCGTCGTTTCGACCGACGCTTTGTGGTTGAGCCTGCGGCTTAAGCCGTTTTAAGTGGATGGCATGCATCGTGGGCACCTAGAAGGGAGCGTCTAACAATGTCTGGGTACAAGCCAGGAATGGATGTCTTTGAAGACATCATCAGCGCCCACCAAGAGATTCCCAACAAATTCATGAAGATAAAGTAAATATGATACAAAGCACATTCATGAGTTTGCCAACTAAAATAGATCCCCGATGCATGACTCAAGATGATTTTGGTGTGATGATTGGTCTCCATGGTGCTAGCGATTGATTGCTGACTGCCCGATCGGAGCCTCTGCTTGGTGCTTGGGAGTATATTTTGCGACACTCGAATCCTCGGGAGAGGCCTTCAAAAACATTGCGATCCAGGGCAAAGTTATGATTCTTATGATGACAGCAGTTCCAGCTCAAATATAAATCTTAAGGCGTCGCCTTTTTAAATCCTTTTTGGTAACTGCATTTCGAACGGAGAACTATGTTGGAGAAACTTGCGGCAATAGAAACATACGTACAGAAACTGGCCAAGCCATATCCTCATTTTGTGCTCCGGCCTTGCCATAGCCAGGGCTCTTTTGTGCAAGAGCTGCCATGAAGCTGGGCCTGGTACTAACTCAGACAGACCCCTGGAACACCGCAAAACAAGTAATTTAAACTGAATCTGGATCAGGCTGGCGCAGGCCGGGACGGAGTTCAAATGATTTCGGTTGGGAGATAGCAAGATAAGCAAGATACACTTGGCACCGTCTATGATGCCTATGGGATGCCAACGTCACAAAGTCTGTGAAGAATCTGTATACCATGTCAAAGTCTCTGCAATCAATGGATTGTCAGTTTGCACAGCAAAAACAGTTTTCTGAGGACTAGGCTCGATGCCAAACAGGGAAGAGGAGGATTTCGAGGATATCCTTGGCAAGGAGGGAATCGGCCACTAGACAATGCCCCTGCACTTTGAGTGCCATGAGGGAGGTACAAGATTCAAGGCAATAAGATATCACAACACCAAGAAAATTATATAAGTGTTTAGAAAGTTAAGATCAGCCTCTGAAAAAGTCTTTTGCACATCCCCAAATTTCCAAGATCTCCTCTCTCAAGGCAAGTGTGCTGTCAGACTTAGCACAGGTATTTCCAAATGGATGTGCAGGCCAGGCAAAGGGGCATGTATGAAAACAAGTGTGCCTTGTCCAGTCCTTTGAAGTAAATTCATCTCTTACCACTGCGCCACGCCCCAACTTTTTGCAGTGCCATGTCTCTCCGGAAAAGCATAGTGCAAGGACGCACGGGTGCCAACCGCAGACCTGGAGGGGCTGGAGCACGAGTCAAAACATGACATGTTATAATATCCCAGCGCTTAGCTTTGAGTATCTCAGGACTCTCAGGACCTCAGGAAACAAACCTTTTGGAAAGTTTCATACACGTTCAAGGCATGAATTGCACATTTTTCTGAAAGGCCGACTTTCGTACCATAGGACACCCAACTGGGTTTACTCAAAATCATAGAAGCAACATCTACAGTATTTATCAGTCGCTGTCCATTAGCAACATCTAATTAACAATGGGTTCCAACCTTTCGGGATGTCGAAAAGACCCTACGATCCGGCTTGGAGCCACCACTGTTACATCAACACGGCCATTGACTCTCAATGCCGATAGGGCGATAGGTTGAACTGTCCAACTCAATTTCGATCCGGAAATTATGTTTTAAACCGCCATTTATAATATCCTTTCAGTTTTCGGCCTCAAAAGGTTAAAACATGTCTGCCCAATCGTACCTGAACTGTACTGCAATTTGAGAATTTTGCATCTGCTTCCCTGCCAGTCCAACTAGCGAACAACCTAAACCTTCTGTTCCCAACCTATTGCAAAATGTCACTTAAGTTCATCCCCAATTCTTCCAATTTCTGGTTGTTATTCTCATGTTTCACTTTTTTCCCGGGCGAAATTCCTTCCTATCATTTCCTGGTGAGTTTTCATATAACCACAGACAGCGGGCCGTTGGTGTGGCGTTTTTGGACCCACAGATGGTCATCTTTAGGAGCGGAAAGCATCCAGAATGGATGGTTTCACCAACACAACTACGGAAGAAAACCACCAAACTACGTCAAACTACGTATTCTACCCAAAAATGCAGATCAACACGGTAAATGCGAAGATGTTCTTGTCCGTCGGAGTTTGTGTGCGATTTTGAATGGCCGTCGCAACTGTTGTCCCCAACCCCAACCTCTCGCCTTGCAGGCTTCAAAGCTGCCCGATAGGGCACCTGGCACCAAATGATGGACTTTAGCGATTATCCGATAGGGCACTTTGGCTGAGGCTTTTGACTTTGGTCAACGGTCAGGGCATGTTGATCTTTTGGATTTGTTTGGTCTATACGGTTCGATTCTGTGTGAATGTTTCTGTCAATGCGAAGCACACAAGATCAGCCAAAGAAATGTTGTTCCTGGTATGGAATAGCATCTCCTATAGTATGGGCATTCGGAAATACCCCTACAGCAAGTCACATCCTCCAACCCAGCTCTTCCCCGGCCCTACCTTCTGCACAGGCGCCTGCCAAGACCACTCCTTGATAACACCCTTTTCAGCCACCGTGATGGCGTTTGATGCAATGATGGTGGTTTCCACGATGCTTTTGGGTGGAGTGTATGGTGGATGGAAGGGTAAATTCGACAATTTTGGAAATTTTGGTGATAAGATAACGACTATTGAAATCAAATCATTTCCCATCCTCAAGATGGGACGCGCCTTGGGTTTGGGTTGCACGGCGTTCACCACCTGGCGGTGCAGCCGCTGGATGAAGCTGACGGTGTGGGTTTGGGATTCTGCCCCGAATACACATACCATATATTATTAATACATATAAAACTATTGTAAACAAATAATATTTCGTATGTAATATATAGTATGTAAATATTTTATATATATATATTATGTATATATTGTATGTATAAAAAATAATATGGTACACATGCGATTAAATATTGCATCCAACTCGTAGTAGGAATCCGTATACGTGGTCTGGGAAAGACCACGGATCGGTTGATGTCCACCTCCCAACATGTGCGGATCAACACGGAATAGTTTTGTCGCATGTAGCATCACGCAATGAAATTTGTTTTCTGTGTGCATGCTGGTTTACTTTACGGGTGCGGTCTCCAGGTAATTTGTTCCTCCTCCTCCTCCTCATCCTCCTCCTCATCCTCCTCCTCCTCCTCCGCCCGCTCCTCTTCCTCCCAACTGCCAGCTCCAGATCTCACTAACCACAACCACGAGCCAGATTCCGGTGCGCACTGCCGGAAATCAACAGCGCCCTCCAAATCTCAGCACTGCCACACCTCAACCGCGCTCCAGATCTCAGTTTGCACTGCCCACCTTGAGTTCAACATCTCAGGCGGCACTGCCAGACCTCAACCACAAGTTCCAGACCTCAGTCACTGCACCTCAACCGGGGGCTCCGGATCTGTGGCCACTACCCACTGAAATCTGGCACTCGTGGTTGCGGTCCGGCAGCGCCCATGTCAGAGAGAATGTTACAAAATAGATACCAGATAGAATGCCACCGGAAAAGCCAAGAATGCCAGAAGAGATGCCAGAATGAATGCCAAATAGAATGGCAAAATAAAAAAGGTGCCAGATGGAATGCCTGAAAAAATAAGCCCAAAGAATATCCCCAACAGCAAGAAAGCAGCAGC